TGACCAAATTTCAAGTCATTCGATCGCGCGGTTGATTTTTTACAGGGGGGGACATTTTAGCTGGGACACGGTGTACATTTCAAGTATTTCGGAGTGATTTGGTGTCTGATCCTGTAGAGTACTCCGATTACTAGAGATATTTTCTTTCTGATCGATTCAATATGTTTGGACCACGACAAATGTTATTAGACATAGTCTGTTTGTAATTAGTATAAATAAATAAATAAATAAATGTCTTCTGGTTGCTTTGCCGTGAATGTCATATCTCGTGAACTCGGATTTTCAGCTTCAATGACAGCATACTATTCACTCATGGAGAGTCATCTTAGGTATGGAATTCCATTTTGGGGCTCTGCCTGCCAGGTTTTATTGCAAAGTATATTCGTCATTCAAAAAAGGGCTATAAAAATAATATTCAAAAAGAGGATTCGCGACTCGTGTAGGTCGGTAGGCTAATTTTCTGCAAATATAAAATACTAACAATATTCGAAATTTTTATTATAGAGACTGTTTGCTTGCTTCACAAACATAAAGAGAAGTTCTTGAATCGAACAGAAAGGCATACACGAAAGGAGATGATACTTGTCCTTCCACTCCCCACATCAACTTTGACCAAGCATTCTCAAATCTATAGAAGTAGACAGATATATAATCATTTACCGAAACAAATAACAGCAATCAATGATCAGAAGCAATTTAGGAAATCGGTAAAAAACCTTGTGATGGGAAAGTGCTTTTATAGTTTGGAAGAGTATTTTGCATATGATTTCTAGTTTTTTATATAAATGTTACTATCTACATCAAGATTTTAATAAACTGTAGTTGTGAAAACACGTTTGTACCGTACCGTATTATACCCTTTATGTAAATATTTTTTAGTCTTGTTTCTTTTACAATAGTTCGTTTTTTATATATATGTTATACCTTTGTCGACAAAATGTAATACATTTTAGACAATAAAGATTATTCTCTCTCTCTCTCAAATACAATATTCACTTACTTTAACGGTGACCTCCTCGGCCGCGCAATGGATGTGCATCACCGCGCTGTATCCCGCGCAGATGATCGACTTGTGTTCGAGGATGACCAGCTGCGCATCGAAAATCCTGCCGGTGTGGATGGGATTGACGGAATCGCACAGCACGAAACCGGGACTGACGTCCTCCTCTTCCACTCCTTTCACTTTGATCTTGACGTTCTCTCCGGAAACCACTCGGTTGACCTCGTCATCGTCGGAAAGTAACATATCGACTGTGACAGGTGTCTAAATTTTCAAAGCAGACAAAAGTTAACAATCTTAAATGCCAAACTCGGATTAATGAATGAAATCGCGGATGGTGGGGATAACTCTGAGGAATCACTCCCAGAAAATTGATATTTTTTATCGACAGAAAGTTGTGCCGAATTAAGTTGCAGTGACAGTTTTAATTGATTAATCGAAATGAATTCAGATAGACTGAACTGATCCTGTATTCACAGTGAAAAGTTTTTATCGCGTTTCTTATCACTCAGTAGTTTTTTGCCCGTCAACTGTACTACCTGTTCAGGCAGTGGCAGCCGACAATAGTATATTAAACACCGACGTGGAAAGTGATTTATTCCTGTCGTGAGATTAGTTAGTTAAGCGAGACGCAAAGCGTCGAGATTAGCAATAATCTCGAGACAGGAATGAAACTCCCTACCGAGGTTTGTGAACTATTTTATTTACAACCATCATATTTCGATCAAAATTGATAAATATATTTCGTTCTGAACACACCTGAATTATTACATGAGTGAGAGGCGGGAAGTGAGGGCGGGAAGTAGAGGTGTGTAATGTGACACTTCCCAACCTTCAATGACGTTAGTAATGACAACATTACATATATGGTTGTAAATAATAGTATATTACACACCGAGGTGGGAAGTGATTTATTCCCGTCGTGAGATTAGTTAGTTATAATCTCGAGACAGGAATGAAACTCCCTACCAAGATTTGTATACTATTTTTCCTACGACTACTACTGTAAGTGATGAATATTGTACACAAAACAATGGCAGTAAGCTTCTCCTTACACACGTGTGCGTAAAGAGAGCGATCGGACAGTTTTCATAGGTATGTTGATAGATGACTTCGTTTTTTTGCTTAGGCGATGTGTCAATAACAATCAACTATTTCATTAATGTCAGTAGCTATGACGATGAGCAGATTATTTCTACACCACCAGAAATGTTGGAAAAAGCTAGAATGGCTAAAAATGAGTTGCTACCCGCTAAGTCTCGTGAATTATACGAAATAGCACATACATCACAAATTCCTGGACTGGAGAATTAGAAATAATACCTACCGTGTCGTTTTCGGAACATATCCTTTTAGTATATTTTCAAGAATTATTATCAAATTCGATGAAATCATCATCACTCTGGTCGATATATTCCATGTTACGATCAACACTAAATATCAATCACAATATTAATATAGCAACATATCCCATTTCCTCAAAAGGAAATCGGATGGATTCCGAAGTAAAATTATTTTCTGCAGAATACTCCTGTTGATGAATATTTATTCATGGAGGTAATTTTTCAAATATCATACATATACTTAACATTGAATTGAATTCGTTTTTCTTTGAATAACAGGAATAATTAGGAAAGATCAATCTTCGAAATGGTATTTATAAAATATCTGCTGATACGAATTAATGGTGATAGCTCAGTTGTTGGAAGCGCTGGATCCGAAGCCAAAGGTCGGCGGTTGAGAGCGCAATTGGAGAACTTTTTTTTAATTATTTTTAATAACGATTACAGAATCTCTCGTTCTGTACTGTTACAATAAATAACCATTATGAATGTTAATTTCATATTTTTATATAATGTGTCTTCTGCTTTTAATAAAGTTGTTTAGATATGAAAAACGGCTCAATTTCAGTTCGAATTGAGGAAAATGTCTCAGTATGCAATGTATCAATAAACAAACACAAGAATTTTGATTTGTAACTTTTTATGCAGCTGGTTTAGTGACGGGAGACATGTATATATAGGTACTCCAGAAGAAAATATAGTGTAGTCGTAGAAAAAGTATAGTACAATTCTCGAGTTGTAAAGCAATTACGCACTTGTGGAGTTACACACTCGCCGCTATGCGGCATCGTGTGTAACTCTCTCCACTTCGTGCGTAATATGCGTTTTACAACTCTTGTTATGTAATATACTATTATTTACAACCATCATATTTCGATCACTTTGATCTTGACGTTCTCTCCGGAAACCACTCGGTTGACCTCGTCATCGTCGGAAAGTAACAAATCGACGGTGACAGGTGTCTAAATTTTCAAAGCAGAAATAAGTTAAAAATCTTAAATGCCAAACTCTTAATGAATGAAATCGCGGATGGTGGGGATAACTGTGAGGAATCACTCCCAGAAAATTGATATTTTTTATAGACAGAAAGTTGTACGGCATAAAGTTGCAGTGACAGTTTTAATTGATCAATAGAAATAAATTCAGATAGACTGAACTGATCCTGTATTCACAGTGAAAAGTTTTTATCGCGTTTCTTATCACTCAGCAGTTGTTTGTTGGCTCTCGTACAATGCCGGTCAACTGTACTACCTGTTCAGGCAGTGGCAGCCGACAAAATCCTTTACTGTCCTGCCGAGATTGTTCGAAGACTTTTCACTCCAAATGTGTGGAACTCAATGGTCCTCTTCCAGACATTGATAAGTTCCCAGGACTCGGATGGAAATGTTCTACATGTGCAAGTTCACCAACGACATCGTCATCAGGAGCATTAGCCGAAATTCTCTCAAAACTGAATAGCATGCAAGATAAGATATCAGATTTGAAATCTAATCAATCTGAAACAACCAACTGTCTACAATTTTACGGAGATTACGGAATTCGATGAATTCAATAAAAAAATTGGAAAACTAGACGAAAATCTGAAAACAATATTCAACCTGTCATCCGATATGAAAGTTGTTAAGTCAGAAATAGTTGATATACAGTGCGAACTGGATAACTTACAGCAACAATCACGTCTTAATAATCTGGAAATCAATGGAGTGCCTCATAAATCCAACGAAAATCTTAATAACAAATATTACAATTTTTTTTCTATTCTTGGGTATGAGAACGCACAGAATATGATTGAGAAAATGCATCGTGTTTCGCACATGAATTCGATGAACGAATTCGTCGTAGTGAAAGGGATGCTTTGCTATCAGCTATCCGAAAACGCAAAGGAATGGCGGTTAATGAAGTTGACTTTTCTGATGTGGATGGTCAAAGCAAACCTCTGAATATTTACATCGATGAACATCTCACAACATTCGTACTATTCTTTTTTGAGCTATAAAAACATCTTTCCATTGTGAAGATAGGCCCCAGAAACATAGACCATACCTAAGTCTAGAGTCAATCTGATCATAATACAAGGTCAACAATTGATTCATATTCAAAACTTGTTTAAAGTTTTTCAATTAAATTGTGTTCAATTTCTTTGTTAATAGTGCACAATGGTTATGCCACCCCAAACATTGATCTATAGAGAGTCCCAGGAATATGGTGCTTTCACTATCTGTAATTACAAGATCAGAATTTTCCTTTGCCTGGAAAGTAATAGTCACACTTTTTCTGACGATTGTGAAATCGAATCGAAACTGTTCTATCAACATTCAAGTAAAGGTTATTTGCAGAAAACCATCTATTCAAATCTTGAAAAACTTGATTGCATTTATTCTTGAGAGCTGAATCATTCTATCAGAGATAATTATGGAGGTATCATCTGCATACATGGTCAAAGATGTATCAATTGACTTATCGACGTCATTAACATAAAATAGAAATAATATAGGTCCCAAAATTGATCCTTGTGGAACCCCTAAATCAGTTGAAATGAAGTCAGATGGTATTTTGCTGATTTCAACAAATTGTTTCCTAAAAGAAAGGTAGTCTGCTATCCAGGTCAGTGGAGTACCACGAATACCATACCTGAAGAGTTTATTTAAGAAAATGTTATGGTCAACGCAATCAAATGCCCTGCTGAGATCACAGAAAATCCCAACAGGGTATTCTCTCGCCTCAATACATCTAATTATCTCACTATAATAGGAGTGAATGGCTGTGGTAGTTGATTTGTTGTCCAGGAATCCGTGCTGATTCGGTGTGAAAAGATTGTGACTATCACAAAATGGAAGTAACCTGTTTAAAACAGTATATTCAAATACTTTTGAAAAACAGGTGGAATCGTGACTGGCCGATAGTTTTCTAATGAATGGGGACTTATTCTTCCAGTTTTTATCAAATTCGGAAATGTACCTGTAGTGAAAGCTAAATTTACCAGGAAGAGCAAAGGTGCAATAATAACTGAAAGATATTTTCTCAGAAAGAACATTGGAAGCTCATCAAATCCCGAGGATGATTTATTTTTCGATTTACCCTGAAGAAGGTTATACAGTTCCACCTCTGTATAATGATTGAGGAATAATGAATGTATCGATGATTTGATGTTTTCCAAAAAACACTGATACTTAAGATTTTCTTTATTGATCTGTCTTGTTATCTTTTTTGGAACATCTCTGAAGTTATTATTAAAGTGGAGGAAGAATAGTATCATTTTAAATGTAGCCGATAGTGATCCATTGTTTCAATGATACTGTCGTTTAGAATCGAGTTCTATTTGAGAAATTTCAATGTTAGCCAACTACCCTCTACGTTCTTACTCCCAAACGCCGATTAAAAACGAACTTGTTCTAACATTAGTGACATTTGTAGAAATAATCAATATGGAAAATGAATTCCTTATGTTAGAAAACAGGGATTGAAATCATTTCAGGAACGTTAAGAAGCTAACCCGTAAACGTAAATTGCAAATTCATCAGAATAAGGTGTTAAAATTGCTGTTTAATATAGACAGAAGAACACCTAGTGATATTCTATACAATAACGAGAATGTAATTCAACTGGTTGGGCTTCGCTAGACGCTCCGCCTCGCGAATGCAAAATTCGATCATAATAATACAATCTACCTGTTTTGACATATTTTTTTTTGCAATTGCATTACCTCGTTGGTCCCAGCACTGGGATCAAACGCCCCATAAGTCGAAACTTGTGCGGGGTTAGGTAAGCAGACAAACACAAACATCCATGGCCTAACTAGGATTCGAACCTATGTCTCGGTGGGAGTCCCCATACGAACTCAGCGCCTTCACGCTCTCGACCACCAAGCCGCCAATATTCAATTGAAACAATCAAAATCTACAAAATCAAAACACATTCATCTATGGCATGCAATTTGCTGATGACACAGCCTTTATAAGTCATCATAAATCACTTGAAAAAGCAGTTGAAGAGTTACAAAACTCAATTCGGAACACTATGAGATGGTGTGACAAGTGAAGGCTAAAACCAAATCCAGGAAAATCCCAACTGATACTCTTCAATAAAAAATATCAGATGATTCACCCACGGTAACTGGGAACAATCACGTAGTGAGAACTAGGGCATTAGTTAAATATCTGGGAGTGCACTTAGATCAAAAACTAAAACTTTAACCATCATACCCAGTTGATGAAAAAAAAGTGCATCACAAGAGCTGAACATTTTTGAAGCCTAACCTAGAATAAAGGAATTAGCAAAAGAACTGCAGCACATATACAGGGTGATTCACGTGCCGCTGTACATACTTATGGTGTACATAGGACATACCTCTGCCATTGAATAATGAATATTCATATTGGTCAATTCGACGAAATCACTGAGATACAGGGTCATTTTTCATTTTTGGTCAAAATTGATTCACTCTGTATCTTTTCAGTCGTTTGGTCAAACTTCCTCAAATTTTATACACTTAGTCTACTAATCAATGTCAACTTTCTGGAGTACGAAAAGTCGCCAAATTCCAGGCCCGGACTTGGAAAATTTCAATTTGTCGTCTCTTACAGATAGGACACCCTGTACATTGGAATTTTCAATATCTTCTCATCATTCCGGAAACTTCATGGATTATTGAACAGGAAAATGTTAATAACACGTTTGGCACATTTGAAGTATGTTTTAAATAAAATATTGCTTTTCGGGAAACATTCCATTTATTCATTTTATCCCTTGAAAATTTATAAAAAAATTGAATTATATTTTCAAAATGCATTCCACCAGCATCCCTGCACTTTGGTGCTTGAGTTAACAAATTTTCGATTGAATTTCGAATCATTTGAGGATTTTGTTTGATTTCTTCACAATAATTTTCAATTCGGTTCAATAACTGCTCTCTGTTTCCAATTGAATCGCTGTAGACCTTTTGTTACAAATGTCCCTACAAAAAATAATCTAGAGGGTTAAAATCTGGGGACCTAGCTGGCCAAGGGAGTGGCCCTCCTCGTCCAATCCAACGATTTGGAAATCGGTAATCAAGGTGTTCTCTGACGTCAACGCCAAAATGAGGCAGAGCGCCATCATGCTGGAAATGTATTCCTCTCAAATTGATGTTCTTCATCAAACCAGGCAAAATATTCTGCAGAAAATCCAAATAAACGAGGCTCGTTATCCTTTGAGGAAATACATGAGGTCCAATCATTTAGCAAACCACACCAAACATTGATTAAAAAATGTTGGGAATGGGCTTGTCTTACTGTGTGCGGATTTTCATTTACCCACACATGAGAATTTCTTGTATTAAAAATACCGTCTTGTATAAACTGGGCTTCATCGGTAAATAATGTACGAAAAACAGTCCTTCTGTGGCTTGTGATCCACCGGGAAAATGCAAGCCTGGGTATTTGGTCACCTTCTTCCAACCGTTGTACCTGCTGGATGTGAAAAGGGTATAAATTCTCGTTATTAAGTACTCGCCATACACGAGTTTGCGGCAGAACTAACTGTGCACTTATTCGCCTTGTACTTGTTTTTGCATTTTCACGTACAATGTCAAGAATATTTTCTTCTTGAGGCCCGTTATGTTGAACATTTCTCTCAACACGAATATCGATCGAAGGAAATTTACCAGTCTCTCGAAAAATGTTATAAGTTGAGGAAAATGTTTGATGGTTTGCGATTCTCCTGCCAGGAAAACGTCTTCCGTACTCTTGTGCTGCCGCTCTTCCATTACCATCGCAAAATCCGTACACATAAATAATGTCTGCATATTAAGCATTAGTAAAAAGTGGCATTTTGTTACTTTGTTGAACCAAACTAGTATTATTAATTAAACAGCAATTTGACAGATACTTTGTGATAATTCTTAAAACAATGGACCATCTCAGTCAAATAATAGAGGGGATATTAACATGGCCCACTGATAAAAAATCAGATAATTATGTTGAATGTTATTTTATGTAGTCCAGAAATGGTTTTGAATGTGACCTAAAATTCATTAGAGCGAGCACAAAAGTGCAGGGATGCTGGTGGAATGCATTTTGAAGATATATATTTAATTTTTTTATAAATTTTCAAGAGATAAAATAAATAAATGGAATGTTTCTCGAAGAGCAATATTTTATTTAAAACATACTTCAAATGTGCCAAACGTGTTATTAACATTTTTCTGTTCATTAATCCATTTAGTTTCAGGAATAATGAGCAGATATTGAAAATTCCAATGTACAGGGTGTCCTATCTGTAAGACACGACAAATTCAAATTTTCCAAGTCCGGGCCTGGAATTTGACGACCCTTTCTACTCCAGAAAGTTGACAATAATTAGTAGACTAAGTGTATAAAATTTGAGGAAATTTGATCAAACGACTGAAAAGATACAGAGTGAATCAATTTTGGCCAAAAATTAAAAATGACCCTGTATCTTAGTAATTACGTGGAATTGACCAATATGAATATTCATTCTTCAATGGCAGAGGTATGTCCTATGCACACCATAAGTATGTACAGTGGCTCGTGAATCACCCTGTATACAAAACAATTTGCCGCCCAATTCTTGAGTATGCTAACCCAATATACATAAACACAAGAAAGACAGCACGGAACAATTTGGAAGTAGCAGAAAGAGCTAGCCTGAGAGCCATTACCAAAATCCGGCACCCTCAAAATCCCCTTCACCATCCATCAAACGAACTTCTATATCGGCTGACCAGAGTGCAACCAATTTCTGAGAGACTGAAAAAGCTAGCATTGAAGTTTTCCAAAAACGAATCCTATCTCCAAATTATCCAATTCTAGTGTTCACAGAGAGATCCAACAGTGAACCCAAGACGGAAGTTTCCGGAAAACAAACTATTGGAATGCTTAATCAATGCAGAAGACTGAAATTCCTTCAAAATTCTTGCCTCACAATAGGATTTTTCTTTTTTTTTACACTAGCAAATTTAATAATTCCATATATCTTGTACATACAATAATGATGAATTTAAACTCAATGTATAATCACTGTGTAACACAGGCTGAAGGACCTCGGTCGGTAGCCTTTTGGGTATCCAATAAAGCTCTTTATTATAGTATATCCAATGTCAATTGCAGAATATCCCGCACTGTGCGGCGTCGGTGTGTTTGAAGTTTACCTTGAAGTGACTGCAGGTGCGGCACTAGATTCTGCAATTGTTTTTGGATAAACTATAACACAATCTACTATTTCTTCAGGTGAAAAAAAACAGAAAATTAGTTGGGAGAAATAATGAATAATGAACTCACCCTATTTGGCATAATGAGCATTACTTGTCCTTTTTTGCACTCTCCCGATTCCACTTTGCCCATGAGCACTGTGCCCATGTCTTTGTATTTGTCCACGATGGGCATTATGAAGGGCCCGTCGTTTTTCCTACTGATCGACGGTAAATTGTCGATGAAAGGGATGAACGCCTGTCCTCTGTACCAAGGGCAAAGTTTCTCCTCCAGTTGGTCTTTCAGTCCTTGGCCCGTCTGACCCGAACACGGCAGGAAGTACAGATCTTTGTTATAAATGAAGCCTAATTTTTTTAAATACGGTAAGATTTTTTCTTTACATTCGTTGTATCTGAAAAGAAATTATCTGTATTCATATTCTTCCTTGTCGATGCTATTTTTATATCAGAAGGACAAATTCGTTTCCTGTTTTTTTTTTTGTTCTCGCACATACATATATGTACAGGGTGTCCAGAAAGGTCATGTCATAACTGATAGGGCTTTTAAACATTGAACGATTGTCATGGTATCAAGGATATTCGGACAACACAATTAACTCATACCAGAGTCACTGGATGGTATTAGATACAGACACAGAAATGACAACTGTTAGCGGTTTTGAATGTTTTGATTTATTAAGTTACACATCTTGCATTGTGAGTGAAGAGTGAGAGAAGAGCACCATAGTCGTCCTGCGTTTTCTCATTCAAAATTGTCTAAATTTGACAATACATTTTGACTTGTGGAAAATTGCTATAGTCGAACCTTTAGGTAAAAACTAGAGTTCCTTCATGTAATTGACACTTTTCTTCTCACATTTTCGTACATTTAGATACGGACATTCTGACAAGCACTGACAGTCAGACATAACCACAAATAAATTAATTATTCCAGATTTATGTTATTTGACAGGTCTTTGGAGGGCAAACATTGTATTTTTTCATATGACACCATTAGTAGTTGGATCGTTTTTTTTTTTGAAACCCGAGTTGAATCCCAAATGAATTTCATGATTTGTTTGGTGAATCTGATATTGTATTCTGTATGCTCATCGGTTGCCTAAATAGGTTGTGTGCCTCCAAGAAACCGTGTCAAAATCACGTGTTCTAGGTCAACTGATGAAAAAAATGGGAACTGACTACATGAATGTACAGTCGTATTCAATAAAAAAGCGTACAAATTTTAAAAAGAAAGGATTTCGGGATTCTAGTTCTAGTTGTGTAAAACTGGCTCAGCCAATTCTTTGTATTTTCGAGAACCTATGACAACTTTACTGTCAACATTTGGTGAACAATCATTCCCGATAGCCAGTTTTATGCAGAATATGATGACGTTGATTTCTCTCTGTAATATACTTGTACGCTTTTTTTTAATGCGACTGTACATTAATTTCAAAAGTTTGTCAAATTGAGACCAAACTGGGTGTATAACAGTATGCAAGTTTGTGATGTTTCTAACTGTAAAAATACTGGGAATCATTTACTTACTTTATTAGAATTTCCAGCAAACTGAACACAGTTTGAGAAATGGAAAGAAATCATGAAGCTGCCAGCAGGAAATATGGATCCAGTAAAAAAAAATGCGACTTATTTTTTTTGTAGAATATAGAATATTATTTATTGCATTTCTCTTAGGTGCACTTCAGACCGAAAGATTGAATAATAAACAACATAATTGTAATGAGAGAAGGTCCGGAACGTACAAATTATACCTACAATTTATAAACAAGATGAATATTGAAAAGAACCAAACAATGGGGAGACCACTGAGGGATGAATTTTGTCCAAACCTCTTTCAATCGATGAATCTTGATTTATTCTCATAAAAAACTCAATGATGAAAATCCGCATATCGATATCTGCCTTTGTTTCGGAGTTACAAGATGTTTTTCGAAAATGGGCCTTTTTGAAAGGTGGCAAAAATTGAAATGAAAATAAATGAAAAGCATTGAGTTTGTGATAAAAATTGTTCTGGAGGCACTGAAATCGGCCGTCCTACAAATAAATAAATAAAAAATAAATAAATAAAAAATAAATGAATGAAGATAGATATTGATATGCGGTTTTCACTTTTGAGTTTGTCATGGGAATCGGTCAACAGGCACCGACATCAGTTTTTTTCGATCTTGTACGGGAATAGGATTTTCCCTTCAAAAGTGCCAAATTTGGCCCACCCTGTACAATCAATATTATAAGCGCAGTCTTACGGAAAACAGTTGTTTCAGTCAGCACTTTTCATGTCCTAAAAATCACAGTGCGCATGTCCACTCGTGGTTAGTATGCGCAGTAGCTCAGCTAGCAGGACTTGCTCACGCTTATTTGATTTACATACCTTTGTGAATCATTTTACTATGTTAGTGGGTATTTTTTCGAAAAATGTTTGCAGCAACATACTTGTGATATATTATGGGAAGCCTATATGCAAAGTCAGAAACAGAACTGGTTGATAGAGGAATCCATTCACATTTTTGAGCATATCAAAATTCTGCTGAAGATAATAATAATAATAGATTTTATTGAGAGGAACGAATGATTTACAATAATTTACATTATTTCGTGGTAAAAAAAAACTAACGTACATTCCTATCAAAAGGCAGAATTCAGGATCTAACCTTGTCACGTGAGTAACGCAATTAGATACTACCCTTCCATATACATGTGGAAATTTAAATATTCCTCAACAAGATTTCTTTTCATACCTAGGAGTATGAGAAAATATATTTTCTTCAAATTTCCCCAATTAGAATGATATTTTTGTCAACAATTGGTAATTGAAAGTTAGTAGCATGTTAGTGCAGTTTTGTCGAAGTTAGAATATGAAGATATTTTAAAAATATCAAAATCCAGAAGTTGCAATGGAACATTTAAATTCGAAACACATGTGTAAAATTGAAATAGAAACCACTTTTATCAACACCTTCATAGCACTCAATTGCTACTAACCCACCGCTAAAAAGTGTTCTTCGTAAGCATACAGGAAAGCAAATTTTTGTGAAGAAACGATATCAGTACATAAGGAAAAGCCGTTTGGAATAAACAATCCTCCATCTATGTTGGCTTACTAGGTCACGATCAAAAAACAAGTTCAAAACCTGGAGAGGGGTCACAGTCCATAGGGTTGCATATGATAAAAACATGTTGAGAGTGGTTTCAGCTACTCCTGAAGGGCAATATATTTCTTATTGGTCTCAAAATGCAGGTACATACATTGGAAAGCTGAATTATGTCGGGATTTCTAGAAGAAATATGAATTTCCTCGATAGCAAATGTATTCCAAGAGAAGTCTCTACCATGTATATCATATGACTTATGTATTGTGTGTATTTCAGTACATTTCTGCTGTGTAATTGAATTCTTATTTCTAGGTAATGGTGCTTTTACGGAAAAAATTAGTCGACATAAAGATGGCACTTGTTTTGACCTGTTGAACTTGAAAATGTGAAAAACACAGGGGTATTTGAAAAAACAAAGTAGCTGGAATTTACAGATGAACCAGAAGTTCGCCATATTGGATTGAAATGTGATCAGGAATTCCAGAAAAACCGTTCACCAATGCAGAAGTTACAGGGGTGGCATGATACCCTGTGTCACCCAGTATATGGCGTAAATTCAACTATTGTGTACAACCCCATTCTAGCTGAGATAAAACTATGGTATAACATTTGAAGAAGCAATCAAAAAAGTTATCAAAGAAATCTGATAGAAGCCAACTTGATAATCTGTCATTCTCATCCTCATAAGAAAACCGGCGAATACATAACGACAGAATCGTCAAATGCTTAAAAATGTATGTCCTCAATCTATCAGGAAATTCAGACACAATCGATTGAGAAGTGAATACATCTCACTCCTTGCATTCAAGTTGAAGGAAGGCCAATGGACTAAATATAAACAACTGGAAGGGAGACGGCCGTTCTCTCGAATAGCACAAAGTGTGTCAGGGGCAGCTGCAACAAAGATAGCATGATTTACGGTAACCTGTCCCTTTCCTACTCGTGTTGTTTAATGGTGGATAGGTATTTACGTTTTCTTTTATCTAATAATTGAAGCACTTTCGATTTTTTCCTCTCATCTAAACAGGCAAGAAAGTGAAGACATAAGTTCATTGTCTTTGTTTATGTGAAGTATATATTCATTTGGCGTGTTTTGTTTTATAAAAAAGGACTGAATTTGTTGATGTGAACCTAATGGTAAAATAGGAACCTATGGAAATTATGCTCAAAATGGACCATAGGTAGTCAATACCATTCAAGAACCCCTTTTCAAATTTTTCCTATCGTTTTTCCTTTTGTTCTGATAGTGCTAAGACATTGTGCTTCGCTCACCCTGTACAATATATTGTGACATTTGAATGAAAATCTATAATTTCAATTTTGTATTCATTTGACTTCCTAATCCTGTAAGAATAAATAAAAATGAAATTTCATTTTCAATGAATGAATGAATATGAATATTTTTATTCAATCAAGTTTAATGCGAGCGTTTCCCTTTAGCAAACATAAGATAGATAGAGATAGGTATCTGTAAACACAGGGGGTTGCCTGAACAATATTTTTGCCTCACTCGCCGTTCACAGAGGGTCTCTTCCAGTTGTTTATATCCAGTTCATTGAGGAAGGCCCATAGACACATACAAGTTTAGTAAAAATAGTTATTTATTATACAAGGGAAAAAGTAGTAGATTTTAGCTCCAGGTTGTGTTGTCTCCCGACGCGTAGCGGAGGGAGACAACAAACCGTGAGCTAAAATCTAATATTTTTCCCGTTTTTCTGTAACAGATGAAAGGACGAATCAATATTGAGAAGATATTACATTATTTTGATATCTGAAAATTATCGACGTGAAATTTTAAGTTTTTAACAGTAGGGACACCTGCGTTGTAGGCATCTTTATCATTCTTTTGAAGTAATCAAATATCTGATGTCACTTCTGTCAGTCTAATTCTGTGATTTGATTTCAAAAAATTGCGAATTTAAATTTAGTGGTTGTTTAGTAATATATGTAACCGCGAAGTCAAATGGAAGATAAACGACTTGCAGTTCTTTCTCAGAGACGGTGATTGGCTTATTTTTCGGAACTATAGCACAACAGAAGCCATCAACAGTGTATATATATATATATATGTGATATATTTATATCCGGGAAAAAAAGTACTAACTTTTTTCCCACGGGAAAAAAGTAATTTATGAAAAGTGGCATTATATAACCTGCCAACAGAGATGAAATGCCAAACTTTTTTCCCGTCACAGAAAAAACGAATTTGTCCCCCCGACATCTTGCCACTCACCTAGCCTCGTCCCAATTCACCGTCGGATCGTCCATCTTGTTCACCAACACCACCAAATACTTCACCCCCGCCGTTTTCGCCAACATGGCGTGCTCGCGCGTTTGCCCGCCCCTATCGAACCCAGTCTCGAACTCCCCTTTCCTGGCCGAGATGACCAGCACGGCGAGATCAGCTTGGGCGGCACCCCCTATCATGTTCGGCACGAAGCTCTTGTGACCGGGCGCGTCCAAGATGGTGAAGTGCTTCTTGTCCGTCTCGAAGAAGGCGCGGCCCACTTCGACCGTCTTACCCTTGTCCCTTTCTGGAACGAAAGCCACGCTTAGATCAAAATACACGCCCTAACGCGCAAAACTTTAGTATCCCTACGGCCCTCCGCACACGGGTCGATCGGCGACATGGGCGACGCGATTCGAATCGTACGACTGTCTCCCCTCTACTCGACTTCCTAAGCAAAGCATCTGGATCCCGCACACGGGTCGTTTAGTGGTCGTCTAGAAACGTACGATTTGAGATCTCCTCGTTTTCAGTCTCACGCGATTAGCAAGGAAGCAGTTTGATCGAGTGAATCTTGCGTCTCAATGGAGAAAGTTGTTCAATAATTTTTCAATCATTGTGAATATTTGTCTTACCTACCTTTCACCAGGATGTGTGCTTCCTTGGGGAGGTATGCTTCAGTATTCCAGGCAGAGGTGCATGCTATTGAGGCATGCCTGAGAGAGAATATCGTAAGAGGATACAGAGGTAAACAAATCCTCATATGCTCAGATAGTCAGGCGGCCATTCAATCTCTAACATGCAATAAAATCAGATCAAAATTGGTCTGGGATTGCCTTCAAAGCCTGCTAACCCTGGCTAACCACAACAAGGTAACTCTTCAATGGGTGCTAGGGCATAAGGGAATTGAAGGCAATGAAGCAGCTGACGCTCTTGCCCGGCAAGGGTCTGCGACGTTGTTTATGGGGCCGGAACCTGTGTTCGGTATCCCCAAAACCTCAATACGCGGCTGGCTGGCAAGGTCGATGCAAGAAAGACATCAGGCATACTGGAACAATGTCCCAGGACAAAGACACAGTAAACTGATGGTTGGAACACTGTCCAAAACAGTGACTAACGACATTCTGAGCCTAAACAGAAGTCAGATCAAACAAGTGACGGGACTAATAACCGGTCACTGCCCCTTGAGGAAACATATGCATCAAATGGGCATCTATACAGACGAACCCATATGCAGACTATGCAATGAGGAGGAGGAAACTGCCACCCATGTAATATTGGAGTGCGAAGCACTAGCGCGTTGGAGATACAACCTTCTGGGAGCAGTAAACTCTCAAGAGGCATTTTCAAAGAATGATCTGGTGAAGAGGCTGCTAAACCTCATCAAGGTAGCGAACCTGGTCACCTAAGTCAACAGCATGATCAGGAATACAATAGGCCCAAAGGCTGCAGTGTTTTGGGCTTCAAACCCTGACTGATCATTCTGTTATTAATCAATCAATCAATCAATCAACCTACCTTAAGTTCTTTACTTTCAGTAACTAGAACATATAATCTTATGTTTCCAATTTATACTCTCAAATTTAGGAACTGTTTGATTTTTTGAAATATATGAATCTTACATCAATGTTATTAGTATGCGTTCTTCTGCGCTGACACATTCCCTCATATTTGTATCCATATAATTTATGGCTAGAGCAAGAGTTTCCACTAGATCAATATATGATTCCTTCGACATTCTATAAAATGCCAGAAATTTTGTGTCACTCTCTTGCATTTCACTTGCAGCAACAAAAAGTCGAGTGTGAAAATTTCGTGCAATGTACGGATGCACCCATAAACTTCGTTGTCATCTTCTTCTCCTGATCTGCCGGTGCCACAAAAACATGATTATGTCCTCCTCGTCACTGGAACTGCTCATTTTTAGCGAAAACTTTCTTTTTGAAGTTGCAAAAAATAGAGAAGTTGATCAGACGCGAGTCGACTACACAAAACGTCGACCCATATGAGGATGACACACACTCCCTTCTCTTGAATCGTACGAATGCAGAAATTGTGACGTCATTGCAATCGCGTCGCCCATGTCGCCGATCGACCCGTGTGCGGAGGGCCTACCTCAGACTCAATTACAACATAGACCCGCAATTTATTCATAAATCCTCAAGAAGTATACGCCAACAATCCTAAACGTCAAACACGGATGAATAAATTAAATCGCGAATGGTGGGAATATTGTCACAAGTAGAACATACAGTATATTAGTAATTTTGAACCATGAGGGTTTTATGAACATAAAGTTAATCAAATCATTTGTTGACATTGAACTATGAAAACTGACCAAGGAACTATCATGAGAAACGTGCAAATCTAATAAAATTATGTATATAAATATTGGATGTGAGGGTTCAGAAGTTAGTCTGGTCTGGGGCTACTCTTGACTTAATGGTCATTATAATGTAAGTTGTTATTTGGTCTTTATGTCCATTGTCATTCTTTTATATTCATCACTTTACCCATAAATTTTAGTGTTATAATAAATATTGTTATGTTTGATTATAGTATCGTACTTTCAGCTACCCCTAAACTATCAGTGCCTATTAGAATATTACCTCTCGCAAACTATTAAGCCAAGCAAACCCCTTATAAATCCATATGGATGGAATTAGCATATATTTAATCGGCCATGGTTGAAATACCATCTATTATAACGTGACAATATCCTCAGACTAAATAATAATAGATTGACACTGCGATGCGTTAGTGCATCATCAAATTAACAGTACACATTAACAATCCTAAACGTCAAACAAGGATGAATGGATGGAATCGCAAACTGTGGGGATAACCTCATAAAATAACAATAGATAGACACCGCGATTCATTCATAAATCATCAGAAAGTATACTGCCAACAATCCTAAATGTAAACATGGATAAATGAATGAAATCGCGAAAGGTGGGGACAATTATGCGGAATAATTGCCAGAGAATTAATATTTTATATAAGTTCTTGTGGCCGGGCGCGTCCAAGATGGTGAAGTGCTTCTTATCAGTCTCAAAGAACGCGCGGCCCACTTCGACCGTCTTACCCTTGTCCCTTTCTGGAACGAAAAACTCGAACAGATCATCCAAATGCACGTCCTAACACGCAAAACTTCGATATCACTTCATAAACACTAGATACTTTCTCCAGAAGACGGCATCATTAGGAACTGACAGCCTTCCAATCTGTCAAGAACACTCTCTTCAGCTCGAGTAGAACCTATGTCCCTGTTATATTCCGAATTCAACTGACAGTACTGAATCTGCAGATCTTTCTTTGCAAAATCAAAAAAAAACCTCACTGAAAGTGACAGATACTTGTGAGCAGACATACTATTCATTCCAAATATTTCGACTCAACATTCTGCTGAAATTGCTGAATATCAAAAGTCTTAAGTAAACGGCCATTATTCCAGAGGGGGAAGGAATGTCACATTTACTTCCGATCAATGATAAATTAATAATATCATTTTTAGTATCAGATAATCAGACGTATTATGTTCGTCTAACTTACAGGAGTATGTCCAAGTGTTTTCTTATTCTGTTTCGTACCTCATAGCAAGAATGGTTGACATCTTTGTTTCTAGCAATGTTGTTACCAGGAATCGATTATTACAACTGGCAAAATCGTATAATCAAATGAAAAGAAAATTCACTGATTATTTGGCCAATTTTCTGAAAGGAAGAAGTCAACAAACAAAGAAGATAATTTGTTTATCTATTTTTGTTGTGCGTTTCTCGTTATTCCTAAAAATAATATCCAAAATAAGCACAAATGTCTGGAAGACGAAAAACTAACAAGACTCGGATGGAACTGATTGAACTTCTTAACACGTTGACGGACAGCGACGTCTATGCTCGTTATTGTCATTGTGCGTGATGTGACACATGCATTTCACGATGTCTACAGACGTCTTCGGACATTCTCGCATTCTGAAGCTACAACGTCCTCAATCGTCCTATTTCCATTCGATATTGTTGAGGTGTCACATCAAGCACATTATCTGTCCCTCTAATGCTGATATAGCCGTCTTAGTCGCGGGGGGGGGGGGGAAGGAACATGATTAGGAGAGGTCCCGAACACGAGCCTGCTACAATAAGCTACTGTTTTTATCATCTTTGTAGGCAGTCTGGCTCATACCCGGTATGGTGTTCGTCTTCTAAGTGAATGTTTTGATGTTTAGAGTGCGAGTTCTTTATATTGTGAACAGGTGCGCTTGTCGTTTTTTATATTTATGCACATAACAACCTAATAAAATCATTTGATGTTGGAGTTTGAAACCAATTCAGAGCATGATCCATTCAGTGACGATGGTGAATTCAATGGGGACTCGGATTTTTTGCCCTTGATCCATCCGACTCAAAGTGAGTCTGAATATGAAGTACAGCCTGAGGAAGGTGAAGCAGATAGGACAAGAAATGAGGACATGGTTTTGGGTGAAGATGTTGTCGTACATGATCAGGAAAATGATGAAGGTCTGCTAGAGAATGTTGATGATGTGGACATTTGGGTGGAGGAACACTGTGAAATTCCAAATTTCAATTTTGATAATAATCAAAGTGGCATAAAAAGTGACTGAATAGAAAATATGTATCCAATAGATGTTTTTCGGCAAATATGGAACGACGATATATTGAACTACTACTACTAACAGTCGGCTATTTGTCATAGTCTCGAGATATTACCTGCAATAACTCTGTGGCTTCCTTGTTCCGTCAGGACTTATGATATTGCTGTACGACAATATGATAGCTTCCAGAAATCAAACTTCGGCTACTGAGTAGAACACAAAAAAATTTTGGAAGTCTTGAAATGAAATCACTCACCTTCCTGGTTGGTATCCAAGGCCCAGCTCAGATACCAGCTCTCTCTGCTCTTCTCTCGCGCCTCGCGCTCGTACTTCTCCAGCGTCCGCTTGTCCACCATGCCGGTGAGCGCCATTATCTGCCCGCCGATGGTGCTCTTCCCAGCGTCCACGTGACCGATGAACACCACATTGACGTGCTCCTTCTTTTCTTCTACTACTTTTTCTGTCAGAGGGACTTTCTTTTTGATTTTGATAGGGGCCTCCTGTTGAATAATAATAGTATATTACATACCGAGGTGGGAAGTGTTACATTACTGTCGAGAGAGTTAGTTCACTGAGGCGGCCGACGAAGAAACGAAGACGCAAAAGAACGAAGGAATAAATGAAGAAACGATGACGCGATAGAACGATCGAATAAATGAATAAACAAAGAAAATAACCAAATCTTTGATGAGATGATGTTTCACAGATCTACTAAAATGAATTGGAGATACAATATTTCTGAAATCGACTGGAAGATGATTATATAATTTGACAGCATTATAAATCAATGACTTTTTAGTTAAGCTCGTCGATGGAATGGGGAGTCTTAAAGTGTTGTTTTGGCTAGTAGAACTTACAACCGCATTATATGACGATTTATTGTTGTGAACTAAACATACTGTTTCGAGAATGAAGAGGCACGGAAGTGTTAGGATTTTGTGCTCTGAGAACAGAGGTTTGCATGATACTCTAGGTGCCACTTTGTAGAGGTATCGAATAGCCCGCTTCTGGAGAATTTTTTTTTATGTTCTGGTTCCCACGGAAAGGGATATCCTGTAATGTTCAGAGAACATCGTGAGAACCAAGAGAAATAAAGTAGGAATTGGTGTTCTTCTGGAATTCCTGGGGTTTATATGCCTCGAGGAACACATAATAATAATCTCTTGGCAATGTATTCCAGAGCCTCGCTGTTCGTTGGATGAACGAGTCTTTGGAAAGAGATGTTCTGCAGGTCTTCAAAGTGACCACAAAGGGGTGCGCAGCCTCAACTCGATGGGTTAATCTCGCGGGGATTGCCAAGGGAGGAACAATTGTTGATATTTCATAAGAGCATCGCCCATGAAAATATCTATAAAATAGAGCCAGATCGCCAACTTTTCTACGGTGTTCCAGAGAAGGAAGTGAGTTTGTGGGCAAAGCATCACCCATGAGACGAATTGCCCTTTTTTGGGCAGAATCCAACAGTTTCAGGGAATGTTTGGGTGCTGCACTCTAAATATGGGAACAGTATTCCAGGACACGTCGGATCTGTGCCTTATAGATCATAAGCAGCTGACTGGAACTGAAATAGCTCCTGCCCCGAAACAAAAAAAACTTTTTGAGATGCACTTTTAGCAATTGATCTGTTTGAAATTCTGTTCACTGCAAATGCCCCAGAAAGGTATTCCATAACTTATGTGTGACTCAAACATAGCATGGTATACTAATTTGGACGTGGCCATGCCTAGTTCTCTAGACACTATCCGCAATGCATAACACCCAGATGCCAATTTTTTAATCAAAAGTTTCACGTGATTATCAAAGTTGAGTTGGTCATCCAGATGAATACCAAGAAATTTAATTTCGTTCTTCTGTTCAATGAAAACTTCATTTCCTAACTGGATGTCTGGTAGATGACATTTGATCGACAGGAGGCTAGTTTTACCTATATTGAACGACAGCAAATTTGAGTCACACCACCTTTTCACAGTGGAAATTTGAAAATTTAATTTTCGTTTGAATATTCTTTCCCCAATGGTATCATTCCACAGGATAGTTGTGTCGTCGGCAGAAATAGTGAATTTTCTATCGATCCTGAGATAAGCCAAATCATTAAAATACATGAAGAAAATGGTAGGCACCAAAACAGAGCCCTGTGGCACACCGTGACAAACTGAACCAGTTCAAGCCCACCATATCTATGCTCGGTATTTCCATCAGCAACACTCTTTCATGAGATAATCATGTCAGATCCATCGCAAAAGCTGCTTCACAAAAACTCGAATTCTTGTTCTGTGCGGAAAGATACTTTACTTTACACCTCAACAGCTTCTCATAATCTACAAAGCGCAGATACGGCCTGTTCTAGAATACTGTTCCCACATATTTTCAGCACCAAAACATATGCTGATGCTCTTAGATTCCATCCAGAGAAGAGCCATTCGCCTGGTGGGTGACGCCACACTCACTCACTCTTTGACATCATTGGAACACCATTTTCACTTTTCTATCGATACTTCCACGGGAAATGTTCTTCAGAAATCTCTGCTATCATCCCTTCACTAGCAAGACCAGTCAGACGAACTAGACAAGCCCAGTCAGCACATCCTTTCATTGTCAACCTCGAAAGATGTCGAACAGCACTTTATCAAAACTCCTTCATCCATAGAACGGCTAGGCTCTAGAATTCATTGCCTGAGGAAGTATTCCCAACAACATATAATCTCCAGAAGTTCAAAAAAAATTCCAATACCTACCTCCTGTCCCTATCATCCCTAGGAACGCACGATGTTCTATGAACATTATAGGGTTTCCTTTCGTGCGCTCCAAGCGATAAAAAAAGTCTCAGACGTCGTATCTGTTCTCACGATAGTAAAGGAGCTATGAGAGAACGGGATCTTTTCGACCACTTTTCCCATGTAAATCTCCATAAGAAAAGTTAAGGTTCATTCTGGTCATTTTTGTCCACTTCAAGGTCATCCGGCTCCAACGCTAGCCCGAAGCTGCTGATAAGAATAGCGATAACACAACTACAATAACAAGATGGGTTATATAGGGTGCTCATTGAAACTAAACGCTCAATTTACGTTTGACGAATACCACGTGACGCGCTCGGCAAGAGCAGAGGCCGTCAAAATGGCTACCGGTTCAAAATGGCGCTAAAATTCGCTCGCTAATGTAAGATTCAATCCAGCTAAGGCTCTGGTTTCTGATGCCATAGTGCTGCAATTTGCACAAAAAACTGCTGCACAAACTTCCTTCAGATTCAAATTTTTATAAAGCTCTCTCAGAAACGAGAAAACAGCATCGTCTGTACTTTTTTTTTTGGTTGGAAGCCAAATTGCAGAGGATTGAGAATTTCATAATTACCTCGGAGGAGGGCTCGTCGTCGTCGTCGTCGTCCCCCTCAGGCGTCGTGGCGACGGGCGGGACGGAAGCGGAGGCGGCCGACGCGCTGCTGCTGTCGTCGTCGGCGGCGTCCTCCCACGTGCGCCCGCCTCCCCCGCCTCCTCCGGGGGAGGCCGCGTCCCCGTCCGCGGGCGGCACGGGCGGCGGTTCTTTCGGCTCGACGCGCTCGGCGGAGGATTCGGCGGCGGTACCTGGACGGGATGGAAAACACAGAGTAGAGTCATGCTCGAAGAAAAGAGGACCCCGCACATTTACAGGCCTACAGGTCTATTCAGTAAAAAGTCGTTATTTTATGAGTCGTTAGATAACAACTATCGTTATCCTAATATATGAAAAAATGCATTCTGTAAGATAATTATTATGTCCTTGAAATATTCGAAAATCAACAAGAAGTGTACATATTTTCAGAATAGATAGTATGACATAATGTGACATAGGCTATATTCTGAATTCAACTGGTCAGTACTGTCAGTAGATCCACTGAATCTGCTGAAAATTTGTGTTTCGAAATATAAAATCAAAAATACAGTGCTGTAATTCGGGACACCTTTTCATGGTTTTCATCAGTAGTCAGCAGCAGTTGATCAGCTGGTGAAATTTGTCAGTCTGTAGTTTCTCGTTCATATGGACTAGATATTTAATAAAAAGGAGGAAGAAAAGCTCAAAGTCATCTCCACAACTTCAAGTTTGAGCTTTCCTTCCTCCTTTTAAAAATTCCACTCCACTTTGAGCAAACATGGACTTCTACCAGAGATTAGATATTTAATATTTGATATTTAACATGGAAGAGCAATCGATTCTTGTAGCTTCCATAGTTTCTACGATTATTGACGATGACGATTTAGGCTCGAGTGATGAAGAATACTTGGACATTTTGTTGCCATTGATTTCTCATGATGCACCAGATTGAGAATTGAGAGATTTATAGAAAACGTAATGATGATGAATTGAGGAGACATTTCAGGTTTATTTAGTTATTTATTTAGCCAATGCTGCTTCTTCTTTTTTTGTAACTCTACTAATTCATACTCAATATTATTCTCAGCGCTTATTCTTTCAATAACAGGTATTTTCTGATATTGAGAATAATATTATCAACAACGGAAATGAATGTTACATTCCTTCCCCCTCTAAAATAATGACAGTTCACTGAAGCCACACTACCTTCTGATACTCAGCAATTTCAGCAGAATGTTGAGTCGAAATATTTGGAATGAATAGTATGTCTGCTCACAAGCATCTGTCACTTTCAGTGAATTTTTTTATTTCGGAATGAAAAATCAGCAGATTCAGTACTGTCAGTTGAATTCGGAATATAGCCTTAATTTGTCATGAATTATTGACAAATCGTTATGTATATCATATAGATCAGAGATCTTCTACCGAGTCTTCTACTATAATAATTGGAGAAAATAATGTTTCTAAGGGAAGTAGGATTGCGTACAGTCCCCGGAGTGCTAAAATATTCAAACAGTGATTCGTTATTATTTGAATATACGTGGAGGAACTGCAGGAAAATAAATACTTTCCATCAAATCAATATGAACCCACAAACCCCAATATCCTGGAAGGAACTTGGAGTGGTTTGGTTCTATAATTGAATAGTTCCAGAAGCCCAATGAGGGATGAATAGCAAAGAAGAACAGTACCTACGTATTATTTTTAAATGGGTTTTGGGAAAAAAATAAATAAGAGATAATTTAGAGTATTGAATAATTCAGTTTTCAATCTACCTATTTCGTAACTTGAAATCATACCCATTTTTAACATATACAATATTTTGAAGATTTGGTACAGTGAAGTAATTGTCTACAAGTATGTCGGATATTTCATAGATACATCTGCTTGGGACATAGCTCATGATTTGTCTCTTTCTATAGATTTTTGGTAACAACAGATAGGTACATCAGTACGTAGGTACTTTCCGATTATATTTTCAACAAATGATGGTATATACCAGTATTCCTACTGGCCTCCTTGGGATGCTGCAACATATTATGAGAGAATACCCCCCAAACTATAGCTCTCTGGGTAATCGACAATCCTCCCGAACGTTTCCTTCATAGGCCTACTAGCGTCCCTCAAGCGTCTATTCAAATTTTTATTCACTTGGCTGATTCGAAATAAACGGTGAATATCTACAAATATTTATATTTAACTCCTCTGAAACCCTTCTGAAAATTTAGAAAGACTGACTGGATCCGATGGATGAGAGGATTTTATGCGTTTATTGTTTTTGTGTTCATGTTATCCTACCGATACTCTGAATAGCTATCGTTTATAAACGATATTCTGATGACAGCTTTCATAACCGACTGTCAAATCGGTAGCAATGGAGAGACGTGGAGCGATTATTACTACTGAAGATTTATCAGGACTTAGAGCACATAATTCAAATCGATGCAAAATATTCCAAATAGCCAAAATCAAATGATTGACACCCTGTAGCTCGAAAACTGGTCATAGGATCGATCTGTAAATTGGACTGTGTAATAAGGACGCTAATATCTGAAACATATCAAATTTTCAGAAAAATTTGCCGAAAGCCAAATATAGCAAATACCGTTCTATACTCTCACATCCTTAGTAAAATGAACTATCTCATAAATATTTGGGGTTCATGTGCCAAGAATTTCAACAAAATATCTGTACTATATAAAAAAGCATTATTAAAAGTACTGTACCGTCTTCCCTATCACCCCATCAAATCAACTTTATGAAGAGACAAATACATTTTATTTGGAAGAGCACTATCTGATAAATGTTCTCAAAATTTCTTTTGATATTATCAACAAACACCTCAAATCTAACTTCATATTGGTAAGGAATGACTTGTTTCATCTTGATGCTGCTAATTCTACACTTAGAAGTGCGCGATATTTTTTGTCGGTTACTGGACCGAAAGATTATTAATTCTACACTTGGCCAAAAAAAGTTCACTCACGGAGCTATTCCAAAACTCAATAAATTACCTGATGATATCAAAAGTTGCACAAATATCACCCAATTCATAATTGAAGTCAAGAAACATATTCTCTTGCAAAGAGAAGAAAACCAAACCTGAGTGAATAATTTCTCATTCAACAATATACAGGGTGTTTCATGAGAAGACTCACATAGCCAAATGGTTAATAGGGGAAATCAAGACGAGTTGATGTATATATTTGAAAACATTTTTTGACCCTCCATAACGAAGATACAGGGTATTATGTGAAATTGCTATATAACTTTGATGGCCGATATTACAAATATGATTCATCGTAATCTGCTGAAATTTGGCAGCGACGTTTCTCTACTGAAACTTTTGAAGATAACATTATGAAAAAAAATATATCCAGGTCCGGACTTGGGAAAATTTCATGTTTCATTGTTATGTCAAAAAAGTTCACTTTGTGACCACTTTTCTCGAAAAATACCATCAGATTCAGAAAGATCAGACAAAATGCAATAAGAACTACTCTTCAATTCACACGGCACACTTTGACCGGTTCAATAAAAAAATATGGAACAAAATCGTTCGAATAAATTTTGAATTTCGACCTGGCTGATAACTGTCAACTTTCAACTGGTATCATGTGAATTGATTTTTCCTACATTTTTGTTGAATAGTAATTGACAGAAGTATAGACGAGAAGAAAAAACACGATATTTTTTTATCGAAAATCCGGATAGATATTATTATTCCTGACTTTGTTTCATGGGTTTCAATAATTGAAGTAATGATAAAATATCTAGTGGGCCCTGTTTCCCATTTATGTGACGAGACGTGACGTTTGTTGATAATCCGAACTGATAGGTACTAGGTAGGTACCAACTGATGGAATTACGACATGAGGATTCATGTGCCCATATAATGGGGATTTATCAAATTAGTTATGCCATCACGCATAAACACAGTTCCATTTTTGGTTATTGATACAATTCTGCAAGTGATATAAGGATGCATTAGCTATTTATTCGAAATTCCTTGTTCATCCTCGTGAAGGTTTTACTGCAATGTATTCTTGGGTCTGGAAATATTCTATGGTCAAACATACAATCGCATTTGGATTATCGTCTTTTCAGCATTTGAAATATGAAGTGGCACCTAGAGTGCAAGAATATTTCGATTACCAGTCTTTACTTATCAACAAACGCCACCTTACATGAAATAAACACAGGGCCTACTTTATAACAAATTAATAATATAGAGTCACGAGTAATCATATCTATCTAGAAGTTCGGTCAAAAACTAACATGTCAAATCATAAAAAAATCAGAACTATTCTCTTCTGTCAATTTCTAACCAATAAAAATGTACAAAAAAATCAATTTACACGAATCCAGTTGAAAATTGAGAGTTATCAGCCAGGTCAAAATTTAAAATTCATTAGAACGACTTTGTTCCATATTTTTTTATTGAACCGGTCAAAGTGTGCCGTGTGAATTGAAGAGCAGTTCTTATAGCATTTTGTCTGATCTTTCTGAATCTGATGGAATTTTTCGAGAAGAGTGGTCACAAAGTGAACTTTTTTGACATAACAATGAAACATGAAATTTTCCCAAGTCCGGACCTGGATATTTTTTTTTTCATAATGTTATCTTGAATAGTTCTTGTAGAGAAACGTCGCTGCCAAATTTCAGCAGATTACGATGAATCATATCTGTAATATCGGCCATCAAAGTTATATAGCAATTTCACATAATACCCTGTATCTTCGTTATGGAGGGTCAAAAAATGTTTTCATATATTTACATCAACTCGTCTTGATTTCCCCTATTAACCATCTGGCTATGTGAGTCTTCTCATGAAACACCCTGTATTTCATCATGTCATAATGTTCTTTTCATGAGCTTTTTATTTTATTATTATTATTATTTTTGAATCAGTTGTTTATTTCAATAACTTAGATTTAATAATGCATGAATAATCTCATACCAGATATGAATCTGTCTGATTATTCATAAACAATCCCTGAATGTATTTCCAGAAAATAGAAAGACGTACCAGCTGAATTCAGATGTACACTCGTCTTCTGAGAATATGTCACGGTTGGACGGTGTTTATGCGCTATTGTTGCAGCGGTGATTGTGAAAGCTGACACCGCCCATCATGTCCTATGAAGACGAGTATACATATTTATCAGTTTCGATGACCCCGCCTCTCGATGTAATAATAATATTAATAATAATAATAATAATAATAATGTAT